ATCTCAATTTGACCAAAAAATGACTTAGGCACTTATGCTATGAAGCTAACGATATGTAAAACCATTAAAATACAAAATTTTTCACCAGACCTGGCATGTGTGCAAAATTTCATGAGTTTTTGAGCATGTTAAAGCCCTCAAAAAGGCCCTTGTTTTGCCTGAATAATAATAATAAGAAGAAACGGAGCAGATACAATAGGGCCTTTGCACTGTCAGTGCCCGGGCCCTAAAAATTAATAAAAAATGTAAAACTATGCTTACCAGTTACATTAAATGTGACAACAAATTGTCCTACACAAGTATCAATACGTAACGAATTGGGAAACACACCGATTGCAATTATAATGGTGGGTTTTAATGTAAGGACCTGGTGATGTAGAGCTTTGCTGATTCCGATCAGCTGACGGTCCCTGGCCAGTCTATCAGTGTATGTCTAAGACAGACCTCTCTCACTATTGTCATAGCCTCTCTAAACAATAACCGCTATGTAATTTTGACAATATATTTCTTCTGTCATCAGCCTCAAGAGGGAGACGTCAAATCAAATGAGAATTAGCCCCCACAAAAAATAAAAGCCAAAATCCACCACAAGATTAGGAAAATGTTTACAACAACTTCAGTGCCAAGATCTCATAAATACACCTTTATGCTTCCGAAGAATTCAGAGGACAAGTAGCAAAGAGGAAAAACATCAGCATTGATTTCAGACTGTTGCTGCTCATCAATCTGTGAAGTGTTATTAGGCCCTTTCCGAATAATGTGATCTACATCTTATTCAAGACTGTTTTCAAGAACAAAGTAGTATGTATGAGATTTTCAAAGATGCATCTAAACTAGAGATGGACCGATACCGATACGCAATATCGGATCGGTCCATCTCTAATCTAAACAAACCAAAAATTTATGGAACAATCTAGTGTGGACAGATGTGGCCAAAGCAGAGATGTATGGACATAATGCACAAAAATCATTTTGGAGAAAACCAAACCAAGCATATCAGCACAAACACCTTATACAAAATGTGAGATCTGTCTGAGAGCTAAAACTTGGACCAAACTGAGTCATCAACAGGACGATGATTCCAAGCACAGCCAGACATCTACCACAGAATGGCTGAAAAAGAAAATGAAATGAACGTGTTGCAATAGTCCTGCCAAAGTCCAGACCTCAGCCTGGAGTTTGCAATAAGGCCAAAATTCTCTGGCCTGATGAAACAAACATTGAACTATTTGGCTTGCAGGTATCGAGAACAGTGCAATTCAAAGGGACAGGAGATGCCCTGGCTCACCTCTCATTACATCTGAGAGAGAGTATAAAAGGCCTTAACATCCAGTCTTTCATGTTTAAAATTATAATGCTAAATGTAGTTTGTATGTACTTTTGTAAATATCAAAAAATATTTATTCTTAATCAAAAATACAACCAAGTATAAGTCTAATTAATATGATGAATGAGAACTGGAGGTTGAGTAAGAATAATGTCTGTTCTAATGTCTGGATTTTATGTGTGTAGACAGGATCTTCAACCTTGGCATATTTATAAGTTTTATAAAACCCATGAAAGTATATAAAAAAATACTTACAAAGGCCTATGTCATGTAGATTCAAGTTTTTCAGTTCTGCCTGGAGTGTGGTGATTTTATCCACATAGACACGTGTAAACATGGTGAGTGTATAGCTTGATTCATCGTTGCCAGATGTCATCTTTTCCACTGTTTCCAGCAGCTTTGATATCTGCGCTTTGTCTTTGACATTGAGAACGACAGATCTTCCTCCACAGCTCTCACAGAGCTCCTGGATGTCCTGGTTTTTCTTTACAAAGTTAAGAACAGCTGGATCTGTAGGATCTGAGTCCACAGTGAACAGAATCATGGTGAAGTCATTGACTCGAGAGCTGAATGTGTCCTGGATGGTCTCTAACTCTCCCTTGTCTTCATCTGTGAGGGGAGCCACAGGTAGGACCAGGATGAAGGCATGGACACCCTCAGGATCACAGAGGGAGATACACCTGAGTGATTCCTCCATCACTGCCTCCTGAGGTTTTCCATACAAGGCAGGCAGCTCCACCAGGGAAACCCAACGTCCACACACCTCTCCCTGATGTTTAACACACTCTGATGAGTTGGAGGCTGAATGAAGCTCAGTCTGACCTAAAATGGCCTTGGCTGCTGAAGTCTTCTCTGCTCCTCTCCTCCCAAACAGAACCAGGTTTAAAGAAGGCTTGTTGTGCCCAGGAATGATTTTCTCAATCTCAACCATTAGCGTTTTACGTGTAGTGTCATTTATTCCACACATTCTGTCCCCACATTCCTTAACAAGCTTATTTACACTGTTACTGATCTTCTTTTCTGTCAGGATGACCATCGAGTATTTAAAGGCATCATGACCAAACAAGCTCAGGATGAAGTTCAGTCTTTCTCTCTTCTTCTCATTGAAATCAGAATCCACTAGCAGCAGAAGAACATTTGGTCCAGGTGAGCAAAGTCTGATGCACCTCTCCACCTGTGTTCTTACTACATCTTCAGTTTGACTGAGCATGTCTGGAGTTTTCACGACTGTTACAGAGTTTCCTCTCCACTCCCCACAGGAGGCCACACATTGTTTTGTTGTTTGGAATCTTTTCAAATAAGAATCTTGAGTTTTTAGAATCAAATTAAACAGTTTTCCCTTTTTGTCCTCATTTCTCCCCAAAAGTACAATCCTGAAGGAAGATGCTGAAATGAAAAAGAGAAAAAACAAAGTCACAGTTCAGAGTTGGTTTTCACTTGCTAAAACTATGACAATGCTGGTAGTTTGACATAAATCAAGAGTCCTTTCTAAAGGCTATGTATCTCAAACAGAACGCAAAGCATTTGATTAGTTAAGTGAATTTTTTTCTTTGTGAGAGATGGTCTGATTAGACCACTATCGTTTGTGGAAACAACATTAATATGACAATGCCAGCGTGTTAGCTCAGTTCCATGTTTTTGTAAAATACAGTGGAACTGGCCTCAAGGGTCAAATGAACTATAAAGTGACTAACAACTGACTGCCAGCTAAATGGATGTTTTCTGGGGCAGCATTTAAGAGTGGCTGTAATAAAACTTTGCTTTTTCTATATTGAACCTCACTGAGCAGCTATAGTGTGATTATTAAATCACATTTGATTATGACTTACACCATTTGTTGTTGTTACAAAAAACTACCAGCCTGTAAGGAAGACATTCTTTGTCATGGTCCTGGGTCGTGCGACCCAGTGTTTTGTGTTTTAGCCTATTTTGATGTTTATTCTTTGTTTAGGGTCACTAAGGCAGTCCAGCCATTTGTACATATCACCCGTGTATTAAGTCTCCCTTGCCCTTCGTGTGTTTATGTCTGCGTGTCTTATATTGTCAAGTCCATGCTGTCAGTGATGTCATCTCCTCTGTACTATGTCTCCCCGGTTCATGTGTCTTGTCTAATCTCCATGTTTCCTGTTTTACTTTGAAAGTCTGTATTCACGGTCAGTGTATTCAGTTTCACTCCTTTTGTCCTGTCGTTAAGTTCATGTGTGTCAGCTGTGTTCCCATGTGTGGCCACTTCCCCTGATCATCCCTCGTGTGTATTTAGTCTCTGTGTTTCATACAGTCTGTCTGGCGTCGTCTGTGTTATCACCCCCCTGTGTTCCACCCTCGATGTTTCCATGCCCGGTCTGTTGTGTTCTCAGTCATAGTTCATAGTTCAACCTTAGTTCATTCCCAGTTTAGGTTTCTGTTTAGTTTTGCTTTTGTGCTGCCCTTATCCTTGTTCATTTCTCTTGCATAACCAGCCACAAATAAAGGCTCGCTTTTTGTTAAAGTTCACTACTGCATCCTCGGTTTGTGTTCGCTCCTGGGTCCACCGCACATATTCCGCACGGTCTGCCTCCGCAGACTGTGACATTCTTAGGTTTACTGAAGTCATTTATACTGGCTGTTCGAATGGTGAAGAAAGAAAATGCTAACCACCACTAATGACAACCAATCAGCTGCCTCTCAGATGCAAACATGCTGGGAGTTGGTAAAATATTTGTAATGCATGATTGTTATACGACAAAAGCAATTTATGAAGAATACTACTAAATGAAAAAAGTACCTTTTACAGGATCCTGGTTGACAGTGACCGTTTCTCCTTGTGTCAGGCTTGGTCGGTAACTGGGCAAACCAGATGTAGTGGCTGTGGAAACATTACAGCTCACGTGATCTCCATCACTCTGCTGTACAATTTTTCCCATAGCTTTTACCAGTTGACGTTGTTCAAGGTTCTGCCGAAACAAGTTGTCTTTACATTTCTTGATCATATCTGTTACCGGTAGATGCTGCAGATAGTTTTCAGTGGAACCAGAGCTCTGACCACCAGGCGATGATATCACTATCAATGAGTGATCAAATGATAGATCGCTGAAGTTTTCCAGGACTGATTGTAGCTTCTTCTGGTTTTCCCCAGTGAAGGTTTCAGGCTGTATAACCAACAAGAAGACGTGAGGTCCCGGTTCAGAGAGACTCTTACATTTGTTTATAATCTCTGTCAGTTGGTCATCAGACATGTTCGGATCCAGCAGATCAGGAGCATTGATGAGAGCTATGGTTTTGTCTTCCACAGGTCCGGTCACTCTCAGACAGGTATTCCATTCTTTCTCAGCATTGAACACGGTCTCTCCGATGAGAACATTTCCCACTGAACTCCTCTCAGACCAGCTGTTGCCCAGCAAAACAACCTTCAGCTCAGACACTGAGAAGAAAATTCAGATATGTAAAGAATCACATTATTATTAAAAATATTCAAAAACCTATCAAACTATATCCACATTATATGTCCATTATGGTGTCATACAAATCTGATCTCGCAGTTTGTTGCAACATTTGTTTATGTTTTTTTAATTGATTTTTCATTTAAGAAAATCTGATAAAAAATGATCAATGCATAAAAATGCTTCATACAAGACAATGTAAACCCTGATACCTGAACAATGACTGGAATCACTGTAAATACTTTGAGTAGTTGTTGGTGATCCAGAAAACAAACAAAATAAAGGACATGTTATTGTCATTCTGTGCATTTGGGATTTAATTTGTAAAGAGATTAAAACAGGTACACCCTGATCAGAAATCCTGCAGATGGTACGCAAAGTTGATAAGTTATGTTTCTTCATTAATCTGAGTTAATAAAGAAACTCTATTGTGCAGTCGGCAGTGACAATAAAAAAACATTTATAATGAATTTTTACAACTAAAGAAGAACAATCAAATGAACACTATACATGCAAACCTAATTAAGCACAGTAGTACTCTGATCTTGTTTACTTTGACTTACTATCAGGTCGCAGACGTCCATAGCTGCTGCTGCGCTTCAGAGGTTGACCTGTAAGTATACATAAATGTCACTCTTATGCATTCTTTGGGAGGTCAACTTCCTTTCCCATATGGCACTGGAATATTTTTAAAACAACTTAAGGTTCATACACCTTTTTCAGGGTCAAATTCAAGCACTTTTTAAATACTTTCAAGGTCCATTTTCAAGCTTTTCCAGCACAATACCAAAAAAAAAATATGCATGTTTCACTTTGCATCACCTCAGTAAGACAATGTGAAAATGTTAAAACATAGAAAAACACACCACACAAAAATACTGCAAAAGGAAAAGGTTGCCTTATGTGCATATAGTGTTTAAACTCAAAAGGCACATTTCACTTAAACATTAAGATGAGCAAATGAGAAAAAAATCAACTTGTTAGAGATATTCATCTCCTCTTGAAAAAATACAAAAAATACAACACCACTTCTCATCAGATATTGATGCTTCTTTCCTATTTGACACAAAAAATAGGAAACTGATTTTTGTTTCTTTAAAGTTAATTCTCAATAAAAGTAACTGTAAGATGTTTACTTGCTGTCCAGTAGCGGTTTTTGATAGGGGCGTTGCCCGGGGTGGGGGGCGGCAACACGGGCATCAGCAAAAAAATAAATAAAAAATTGCTCGTACCCATGCTGCCCCGACATCAGCCAGCGCATATTGGGAATGTCACAGGCACCGATCGGTTTTCTATCGCCCATTTGCTGGGAGTAAGGGCGCCCTCCGTTTGCGAGGTGCGCCTGCTGCTAGTTGCACAGGGAGGAGAGGGCGGGAATTCTCTGGTCGGCTGGAGCTCGCAAAATAAAACAAAATAAAAACAAACCAACAAACACGAAAACAGCAGACATTATAATACAGACTTTTAATCTGCACCGATGTTTTTTCGAAATTCTATAAGCGAAAAGTGAGCGAGAGCCCTCAGTGTGCGAGCTCGCTGCTGAAGTCAAAGTAAACTTTATTGTCATCTCTGCTACATACAGTCCAGCATATAGAGAGACGAGACGACGAGTTACAGCAGTGCAAGTAAACAAACAATAAATATAAGAAGAGTAAGAAAATAAATCTACACTTTAGGACTCGGGGTAAAGGATCAATAACAATTTATAATTTACAGTTTGATGATTTAAAGTCTCACACACAACCTGTTGAAAGGGGGCCGGCTGCTTCCAAGTGGAGCACATTTCATTCATAATGTTGTAAATACAAGCCCATTATCTACTCATGATTTGAATCCTGGGTTGTGCGAAATCCCAGAAATAAACCTTAGACAAAGTGAATCTGTGAACTAAGGTGTAGGTGTGTTAGATCATGTTGTGGTGATCCTCGTTGGGGGATTTGTGTTCATACTGGAGTGCAAAATTAAAACCAGTGGAAGATGGACAAGAAAAGTTCAAAGTCATCAGGGCGCCAAACAGGCTAGGACTGCCACTGTTGCTGTCTATATTATTGTTGAAGTCCTAAATTATGACCTTTAAAATGTTTGTGCTAATAACATCATGTGCAGTAAGACAGACATGGAGAACAGACTTTAAGAATGCACAAGCATCTACCTAATATCTATTTATTTAATGTATCATGTGATATTATTGTGTACAATTATAATTTATTGTTCATCTCTGTTAAATAAACAGGCAGCCTTAAAGTATGAAATACTCATATATGAAATTTGTCTATTAGAGTCTCAGGGCTGATAGAGCCCCACAGGCCTCAATGTGAGCTTGAAGCCATTATAATGTTTAAGTTGTTTAATGTGCAGGTGCTCACGATAAACAGTTTTGAATGAAAGTCAGGGAACTTTGGTAGCACAAAAAAGGGACTATTCTTTGTGCCCATCGGTCCGTTACGTTACCATCATTTCCTCCCTAAGGTGTCATAAAAGCACCAAGTTAATGAAAAAGCTGCAGCAATGCACATAAATATAAACAGTATTCTATTTACTTACTACTGACAACTTCACTTTTACCCTTTAATCAGAAAACCTTAAGTTGGCTAGTTATGTATCGGGCTAATGTTTATAACTTTCACTTGAGGGAAATAACTCACATTATCATGCCATAACTAACTGCTGTACTAGCGCTGCCATGCAGTGGTGCAAGGCAGCCCAGGAGGAGAAATTTTGCTTTCAGACTTTGCGACTCATTTTATTTTTCTATCTGATGTGCTGCAATCAGATAGTTAGAAGAACCACATCTAAAATTCAAGCACTTTTCAAACCTTGAAAAGACAATATTAAAATCCAAGCATTTTCAAGGAGTTTAAGCACCCGTACGAATTCTGTTAATTCATGTATGTAAAATGTTTAAAATCCCCCTGAAACATTTTTATTAGCTCTGAATGAATAAAATGTAAAAGTTAAAAATCTTTATCAATTAACACCATGCAATTTCCTGAGAATAAAATCACACCAAAATTAAGTTATAAACTGAAATCACAAGCTAATCAAACCCTTTTTTATAAGGTGATATATATTTATAAGGCTTGCAGATGTGCCGAGAATTTCAATCTGGTACCTAGACGCTGTCACTCTACTGCTGGCTTGCAAAATTCAACATTTTGGATCAAATTATCATCAGTATGTGCAGAGGAGGTCAGGAAACAAGTTCAGCAGGGAGTCTTCAGCCATTTGTAAAACACAGTGGAGGCTCTATTATGATTTGAGGCTGTATTTCATCCAGTGGTGTTGGGGATCTTGTCAGAATTTATTGAAATTATAAATATACCATCAGATTTTGATCTATCATGCGATATCATCTGGAAAACTGACAATTAATGGCTTCATTTTTCAGCGTTACTGAAGCAGTGTGGGATCATCTTGACAGAAAACAGAACAAAAGAAAGAAAAATCCAAAGAAGAGCTTTGAATGTCTGTCAGGAAGCCTGGAGAAATATTCCTGAAGATTACTTAAAGACATTACAGAAAGCTGCTTCAGAAGTTTCAGGCTCATTAGATTTATACAAACTTGCTTTCTGCCTTACATACTTAAATAAAAATCTATAATAGCACAATTGAAAAATTGCTGCACTTATTTCCAATTTTCTTAGCAAAATATAAAGAAACTAGTAGATGCTTAAGACTTTTGTACAGCAGTATTTTTTTATGTGACCTACAGGAACGCTGGATGAAATTAAGTTTTACTCAAATCCAGCACCTTTATATTTTTGCAAAAGTCTATCAATATCCACTGCAATGGACACATGTGATTAATGATACTGCCAGGTTCTTGATACCAGCTGATTATTCCTCCTACTGCCAGCTTAGTCGCATTTGTTGGAGTGTGGTGCAGTAGGCTCAGGTGAATTGCGAATTCCACCCTGTATGTGTTTTTTTCTTCTAGCACTTTGAGCCATAACCAAACAGCTAAATGTACACTGTCACCACCCGCTGGCTGGAGTAAGCATGGAAATGTTATCTCATTTAATCTTAGGTATAACTTAGGTATAAAGTTGAAGAATTGGTTACAGCTGCATAATTCAGTGGAAGTGTTCATGCATGAGGAAATGTGCTATAATGGATGCAGAACTGCACTTACCAGCTTCATAAGTTGCCGAAATGGACTCTGCTGGAAACATCATTGAGTGGTTCAGCTGGTGGGAAGAATAAAACTATTTAGCTCTTTAAAAGCCATAGTTGAATATAATGAATGAGTGTTAAAGCTCCGCAAGTAAACACTTACTTCTCTGGGTGTTCCCGAGGTCTCAGATCTGAAGGATTTCTAAAAAAGCGTTGTCATCTTTACACCAACTTTACAGCACAAGAAGAAGAACAGCAGATATACGTTTTAGATGTGAGTTAGAGTTAATAAACTAAATGAAAAATGTTCCATTCAGTTTTATTTATACAGTGCCTTATCACAGCAGCGGCCTCAAGGCACTATACTGTAACTTAAAGGCCTTCATTAATATAGAGAAAAACCCAGTGATCATATGACTC